TTTTTTTTTGAATGGGTTTACATTTTTGAGAAAGGAGGTATTCGAATTCCAACCTAAGACTAGGGTACACCTCACTTAAAGACTTATAATCATTAGACTACAAAACTCTAGTGCCATACCTAATTTTTTTTTTTTGGATATGGGAGAATTTGAGAATGGGAAATATTTTTTTAAGTAATAGGTGAAAGTAGAACTTCTGACCTATTTAAGTTTAAGCATTTAGGTTTGGATGGTAAACTAATAAACCTAGTGAGTTGGTTTCATACTTAAAAATTTTTATATCAAATATCAAATATAATTAATATTAGATTTGTACCCAACAATATTCACTCGTAATTTCTTATGCTTAGACATGGTCATGTGGAGAGGCAATCCATTGTTTTCCGATCACCAGAGCCTGGCCCCACTATTTAAGTTTAAATACTTAGGTTTGAATGGTGAACCAATAGATCCAATGAGTTGGTTCCATACTTAAAAATTTTTATATCAAATATCAAATATAATTAATATTAGATTTGTACCCAACAATATTCACTCCTAATTTCTTACGCTTAGACATGACCATGTGGAGAGGCAATCCGTTTATTTTCCAATCATCAGAGTCTGGCCCCCACTATTTAAGTTTAAGTACTTAGGTTTGAATAGTGAACCAATATTCGATAAGTTGGTTCATACTTAAAAATTTTTATATAAAATATCAAATATAATTTATATTATATTTGTACCCAACAATATTCACTCCTAATTTCTTATGCTTAGACATGGCCATGTGGAGAGGCAATTCATTGTTTTCCAACCACCAGAGCCTGACCCCCACTATTTAAGTTTAAGTATTTAGGTTTGAATGGTGAATCAATAGATTTGATGAGTTGGTTCCATACTTAAAAATTTTTATATCAAATATCAAATATAATTAATATTAGATTTGTACCCAACAATATTCACTCTTAATTTCTTATGCTTAGACATGGCCATGTGGAGAGGCAATTTATTATTTTCCAATCATCAAAGTCTGGCCCCAACTATTAAAGTTTAAGTACTTAGGTTTGAATAGTGAACCAATATCGGATGAGTTTCATACTTAAAATTTTTTATATCAAATATCAAATATAATTTATATTAGACTTATACCCAACAATATTCACTCCTAATTTCTTATGCTTAGACATGGTCATGTGGAGGGGCGAGCCGTTGTTTTCCGATCATCAGAGCCTGGCCCCCACTACGAGCTTCACTCGGTCCTAGGGAAGTTGGACAAAATTTCTATGGGCATCCAAAGTTAGCCCACAGATATCCCAACCAAAATTAAAATTCCACAAAACCCAAGACATCTTATCTCCTCCTCTTTTTTTTTTTTTTGGCTTTCGATCTCCTTTTCTTTATTTTCAACTTTATCCATTTACATCAAATATTTTTTTATACATCTACCAAGTGATTAATAGTTAAGAATTTTTCTATATGTGTATTTATTTTTTTAAAAAAATTAATTTATTTGTATTAAAAATTTAAAGTATAATTTAATCTTATTAATTATTCAATTAAATATATATATGATACTGATAATAAAATTAAAATCATTGTTCTTTTTATTTTAAGTAAAATAAATATCATGTTTAAACACGTTTATCATAAATGACAAAAAAATATAAAATTTTGAAAAGAACAAACTCATAACAATAATTAATAAAATAATTAATATTTATTATTATTACATCACAAAATAAAAATAAAATTTTATAATTTTATAATTTAAACTATACTAATTATTAAACAAAAAAAAAAAAAAAAGCCTAGAACATTTCTATGTCTAAAACTTTCTATTTTACAGTGCAGTGATGCACTGTGATATAATTTTTTGTAAATTAAATCTATAAATGAATGTTTCTTTGAAAAAAAAAAAGTTTGTGAAAACAACAATAGCCGCACGTGATTAATGTGAGTACTCTAGAATCCTCCTCCTTCCGGCTGAAAACTTCCCAAAGTTCTTGGCTCCCTTTCGCTGGTCTTTGTTTTCTTTTCTTTTTCTGTTTCCCCTGTTTTCCTGTTTTATTTGTTTAGTTTCAGTTAAGAAAATATAGCAAAAAAAAATTAGAAGTTGGTCGCTGCCAGCATGGATCCTTTGACCACGGCATCATCAAGGGTAAGTTGATTGGTGTGCAGTAACACTGTAACGTTAGATGAAAAGAATATGTAAATGTTAGTTTTTTTTAAAAAAATTGTTCCTGCGATATATTCATCACTTTTTATATTAAACTTGATTTTTTTTTTTTGAACATAAAGAATTATAAGGACGAGGAATTTTTTAACAAATTATTTAAGGGATTAATAGAGTTGAATTTTTAATTAATCAAATCTAAGTAATAAGGTTTTGGAAGAATCATTAATCGTGAATGTTAATTTATTATTATTTTTTATATTGATTATATAATAAAAAATAATTTTTTTTTATTTTTTGTTTTATTTTACTTATACGTAATATGATTTAAATTTAAAATTTTTTATTTTAAGTGAAAAGAGATGACTTATGAATTATTTAAATTATTGATAAATTCAATTTATTTTTATTTTATATTTTTAATTATACTCAATATCTTATGTATAATTATTAGTTTTTATCAATAAGATAAAAATTTAAACTGTGGATGTTATATAGCTATGTTCCACTAATCAGACTTTAGCTGTGTTTAGAAAAAAAAAAAAACCATAACAGCCATGTCCAAGACTCGAGTGTGATTGTAAGGAAGACAAAAAATCGGTGTACAAGAAGAGAAGGAAAAAGAATGCCGTCGGAGATTACTGCGACTACTGCGACAAGGAGCTCCAAGACACGCAGGCCGCCAGAAAGCGCCACCTCCA